CTAATTTTGCTCTTTCTTCACTTTCTTTTTTTGAAAGATAACATGGACCTGATCAACATTTCCCTAATACATACATTAGATACTGTACCTTGGTACACTGTTTACAGCCAGCTGCACTCAGCAACAGTTTTAACAATGAACTGGAGCATAGAAAGTGTATCTTTAGACATGGAAGCAGTACTTGGTCTAATACAGATGCTACAGTATGACAACTTTTAAGATCCAGTTATTTTCCCATATTATCGAGGACAATAAAAAATCATATATACTGGTTTTCCACCATTAATCAGTTGGAAAAGCCTAACAGCCATGTTACATTACAAGTAATAGCTTTTGAGATTTTTTAAGCTATAATAGGTATTGCCTGGGATAGCATTCTTACCTGTTTAGGGTACAAATGGTTGCACTTGAACTAAAATGCTTTAGATAGCAGACCTACAATATTTAATGATTTGTATGCATTGTCTGTTATCTCATTGTAGCATATGAAACTGAGAAATTTGATCTTTGGTTAGCTTGGTTAATGTATTTGTTTAACATCTCTGGCACTGCCCATAAAAGCTTATAATGTATCTTACCTTATTGAGGATCAATAGTTTAATTATGTTTGCTGTTTTAGGCCTGAGATTGAGTTGATTACATGTGGTGTTCCACAGGGTCAAATGCTATAATGACATGTTAATGAATTACCTTTTATATGCAAATGTTTCTTAAATCTATATCACACGTTTTCAGTACACTCAAATTCTGATATGAAAACTTGGATTACAATATTTTGCATCTAAATTCTATTATTGGGTTCCTCCCATCAGTAATGTAAAACCAATGCTGTAACTTTGTCATATGATTATATTTTGCTTTAAGTTCACTCCAAAGCGTTGGTGGAGATTTCTTGATCTTGATGTATTGTTTTTTTAATTAATTGTTGTAATGCCCTACTTCACAATTTAGTCTGTTCAGAACTCAACAGCTAAAATCTTGGCTAAGGCACACACAAGTACCACATACCTCATGCTTTTGAAACCTCGCAATACCTTCCTTTTTCATTTTATGTCCATTTTTTAAATTAATGCTTTTTGTCCTGTTTTTTTTTTTATTTATTTTAGTCCTGTTTATGTTCAAGGCCGTGCATGGCATTGCATGGCTCTACAAAACAAACTCTCAACTGGTTCTGGTTCATTATCTGTTCGTCTCCACTCTAAGAGTGACGGGGCCTTTCATTGTTGCAGTATATCACACAGAACTGGAATACAATTCCAAAAGAAAAAAAAAAGTAACTCAATCAAACTGCATATTTGCAAATCCTAACATAATGTGGCTGGAAGGCTACCCATTCAAATCCCACAGCCGGCAGAGGAATCCTACTCCGTTGGGCCCCTGAGCAAGGCCCGTCACCCCAGCTGCTCCAGGGGAGCTGTACAACTGATGACCCTGCGCTCTGACCCCAATCTTCTCTCCCTGTCTGTGTGTCTCATGGAGAGCAAGCTGGGGTATGCGAAGAGACAAATTCCTAATGCAAGAAATTGTATAGGGCTAATAAAGTGATGTTATGTTATGTTATAAACATTAAATGTGTTTAAAATTGCATGTTTTTCTATACATTTTTTATCTGTTGAGTTTGCCTTATTTTCATTTTTAGTCTGTTAATCTTACTTTTTACTTTTACTGTGATAGAGTATGTGATTTTTACAGTATGCGTTGTAAAAAACTGTGAGATGACGACTGCAATATTATTATATTTTATTCTGCAAGACTAGAGCTTTCTGTTATCTATCTGATCACAAATGTACCATTCACACTGTGTTAAACTCTAGCCCATGGGGAAAAAAAACACTTTCAGTACAGTTGTAATGTAAAAAGCTCTAAAATAAGGGATTCCCATTATCTAATTTTCTCAAACAGTAAAACTTAGACAAAATTCACTACCACAAATCTGTGCTAATCAGACAATAATATACATGTAAACTGTTTTCTTTATAGTGTAATTATCTTTTTAAGATTATGAAAGCATCTTAAAATATGGGAATTAAACAAATCTTGACTAGCTGTATGGTCCAATACCTCACTGCTTTATTTGGCTTTGCAAGTCTGAACTCAAATGCTTGACTGTCAGTGTGGCAAGGCATGATAATTCCTGTGACAAAACCTCACCTGGACATCTGGTTGACGAAAGAAATAAATGGAAGGAGATATTATTAGTCGGCCCCTGGATTTCAGTACAGTAGCTGTTATTCAATCTGTTTGACAGCAAGATATTTAGAATACTGTTTGGGAAACAATGCATTTATTTTAGGTCCAGTTTGGCAAGGAAAAGTTGGAACACTTTTTACACATCACAAATCAAAGGCATTGATAAGACAAAACAATAAGATGAGTCTATCCCTACTTCCACCTGTTATATACTGTAAACATATTCAGACTTTTTCCCCCATGTTATTACTTTTAGTAAACTTACAAACACTGTTAATTTGTAATAAAGAAAAGATTACAGAACATGTACTCAAGTTTGTTAAAAGCTGGTAAAATCCATCAGTCTCAACTTTTTTTCTCTTCCGTTAAACTCAGAAGCAATTAAAGCCTGTCTTTGCAGTCACAAAGCATGTTAAGCAGTCATTTTCCAAACAACTATCGTGTCTCTTTTAATTGGTAAATTAAACATTCACTAAATGCTGTTTAATAACTAAAGACATATAACTTTTTTATTTACTTTAAATAACTACAGTAGATGAAATTGCCTACAATTACTATATTCATGCATGATCCAACAAGACGTGCACCTCAGAAATGCTTTTGCACTTAATGTGAAAAAAAAAGCTTTGTGACTCTCTTACTCTGTGGAGACAATCAATTACGTTTTTGCTATAGGCAGAATTTACAGGGCTGACATGAACTTGATTGGTTTACTATGTTTCCCCCAAATAATACACTTCTAATGCACTATACCCTGTCTAAGTAGACAGATTAATTTTGTTGCTGGCACATAACAAGTTTTTGAAACAAAATGCTGAAATAAAATATAATTATGACACTCATAATTATAGTAATATACAGTACAATCAGACACATACTTATTAACTAATTAGCCATGTTAATTGGAAGGCTTATTACCTGAAAAATACAAAATCAAAATCACAGAAAACCAAGATACCTAGTAGAGACCTGAAATCTGTAAAAATGTTCAGATTTCGTTTTAGGTGAAAACATTGAAATGGTGTAAACTGGAAAATTAAAGAAGAACAAAAACCCAGTGTATTGTTTACTACAAACATGTTCTTTTGACCATCAAATCCACCACTGGTTTGGAGACACCACAGCATTCTTTTAAATGGTAAAATGAGTATTAAATATTTTACTGTTAATTATACTTTTATAGCAATATTCTACTAACACTATTTTTCATATATTTATATATACATACGGTATTGGAAAAGTACATAGGAAAAAGGTCTCACACAATATAAGGGTCACACCTGAAGAAGGCTCCATGGCTGAAACATTGTGTTTTTTTTTCTTCTCTTTTCAGCAGGGAATAAACCTATTAATTGTTCCTTTGCAGCCTACGCATGCTGGCGCAGCTGCCCACCTGAACCACATATGGTATAGCCATCTTACAATCATTCTTGTTGCTTTATATGTTACCTGAACCTGTAGGTTGTTGATTGGCATTTTAGATGTTTACAGGAGAGGATTTAATGTTAGGCACAAAGTCTATCCACAGATCCCCTCTAACTGGTGTAAGTGCATAATAGGATTTTTTTGTAGCTTCTTCTGTCTTATCTCATTACAGCTGCTAATAACCACAGGGATGTAAAACTGATCATCTAACTCTATCATAAAGAGCTAGCATTATAAAGGACAGAGAATACAGAGGTGTAACTGTACTTTAGGAATGGTATCATTTGTTTTCAATGCAACTTGTTTTTCTATTTAAACACATTTGCCAAGAGAAAATAAACACAGCTTGCTTTATAAATATGTGTTGATGCTATACCATTTTGAGGAGCTCCTGCAGACCTGTGAACTGTTTTTCCATTGCTCTGGCAGCAGGAAAGTAGGGAGAGCAGCCAACATACAGTAGCTGTTGTAGCCAAAGTGTAAACTGCATCAATAAAAATGGAGGAAAGGTAGTCAACTTAGCAAAAGGATTCAAAAGGAAACAGTGGGGTTCTGGATTCCACACAATTTACAGCTGCTGTTAAACCCCAGAGAATATCTGGAGAAAGTACCTTAATTCCTTAGTTTAATAGTTTCAAAATATTGCATTGTGTTTCCAAATGACAACTGTTATACTGTATACTGTTAATGGAAAACCTGATAATTTCACCCATTCGCTTTGATGTTTTTTTATTTCTGTTTTGCCTTGAGCAAAACTGATTTATCACTTTTGCAAAAAAAAGTTAAGTCCATACCAGAAACACACCAGACCAGCTCATTGGACCAGAGCTTATTCTGGCCTCTGTAGCATTAAGCAGATTAGAAAGCACACGGCTTCCTCCTGGATGGGACACCTACAGTATCCCCAGCAATGTTTGTATACTTACAGGAGCAACTGGAGTGAAGTATCTCACTGAAAGTACAACAGCAGTGACTGCATAGGGGACTTGAACCCACATCCTATCAGATGTCAAAGGCTTACCACCTACTCTATACAACCCCCAATTACTGATGCATTATACAGAACACAGACTACAAAATAATGCAATCAGCAGACACTGAATATTTTAGAAATGTACAAATATCCACAATTTTCAGCTATGTGCAAGAATATGAGATGTATAAAATAAAATAATTCAGACTACATTTTACTTATTTTATTTTGCAATTGGTTGAGTTTTCCAAAGTCACCACTAGTGACAAAGACATACTGTCTCCAAAAACAGGCATGTTTACTTTCAAGAAGTACAGTTTTTCTGTCTCAAGAATATTGTTTTGATTTTTGCATATTAACATGAAAGAAAAAGAAGAACCCCCCCCCCCCCCCCCCAAAAAAAAAATCTTACTGTGTTGGCAGTGGATTCCATTGAAGCCAGCTGGACATTTGCAGACATAACCAATGAAGGTGTCACCTCGGTAAGTCTCGCTTATTTCACACAATCCTCCATTGTGACACGGGTTTGGGTGGCAAGGTCCTGTAATAGAATAAAACAGATACTCACTACATGAAATCATTTAAAACATTTGATGTCCCCAGATTTAAGGTTTAATTGCTTTCTATTTGGGGCACTTTTCTCTCTATACCTGAATATCCAAACCAGTAGACTGACCAGGTGTACTGTGCTTTGAGATGTGCCATTGTTCAGATGAGACACATGTTCTATATATTCTACTACTTTATCGTTACAGATCCTGTTCCTCTGATTGGAAGAGCAGTGTCCTGGCTTCACTCTGGGTTTCCACAGAAGCCTAACTGCACATTTCCCCTTAATTTGATTAGTGAACTACTTTCTCATGTTTCCACCAGATTTGCTGTGTAGTGGGATAGGTGACGCGTAATGTTTGCTATATGTGACGCAGGTGGTGTTGCTGGATGAAGTGGATCCCCTGCTTTATACTGTATTCGTGATGAAAAATACCATTTAGCAACATTCATAATTATAATTTGCATACAATAAAACCCTGAGGAAATAATGCAACAAGAATCTACAAGCTGATGCATCCTTCGAACCCATCTACACGTTTTTTATGATTTTGCCTCATTTAATTATTGTTTGTGTCCAACCCTGCCTGTGTTAAATTTTAAAACATGCAGCCCAAACCAAACTATTGTGCCAACAATTCCAAAGAAAAACTTGATTTGCGTAGATGGCGACTTGGTCATTTGGAGTTTTTTTTCTGCTTCTCCACACGAAGGTGATTTGTGACTTTCATTACATGCTCATAAAACCGGCATGACACATATAATCAGATATTCCAGATATAAGGACTCCTCTGATGTCATCTTCAGGTTATATCCTCTTTTTAGCTCATAGACTTTTTCAGAAGCCCCTACCAAGATCTCGAAAGCATGACAGATGGACAGTCATTACTGATTACTTTAGGGTTGGACATACTCTGACTGAGGGAAACTAATGAAAGTCATACCATGGGATTTTGAGGCCTAAGTGGCCTTTCCAGTGAATCCCAATATGATATACAATGAATTCACCAACCTCACATCCACACGGTTCAACTCAACATAAGGTTTTAGTTTAGGAAGTAGATCTTTGAGAGACCTTCCAGTTCAGCAGCACTGGATTTTTCCCCAGATAAGATCACTTTATTAGCCCTATACAATGTCTTGCATTAGGAATTTGTCTCTTTGCATACACCAGCTTGCTCTCCATGAGACACATAGACAGAGAGAGGAACTTGGGGGCAGAGCGCAGAGTCAGCCATTTATACAGTGCCCCTGGAGCAGTTGGGGTTAAGGGCCTTGCTCAGGAGCCCAACAGAGTAGAATTGCTCTGCCAGCCACAGGATTTGAACCGGCAGCCTTCCAGCCACAGGCACAGATCCCTAGCCACAGAGCCACCTCTCCGCATGGTCGAGATATGCAGTAACAAGGACTCTATTTATTGAAAGACTGAGTTTACAAAGCATTTCTGCGAAAGGACGATAGATGATTTTGATTATATGACTGCAAACAAGTTTTATTAGGATTGTTCTTAGGATGGGGGTCTATTATTCTATGCAATATCAGACCAGAAGAACTGAACATAGTAAGAGTCAAGCTTCTGGCTGTTGTTAAAAATGTATGATTTAATTTCTCATATTGACATTTAGTGAGACATTTGTGTGGGCAAGAGAATCATTACATAAAATAAATGGGAAACTTTAGTGAATTTATGTGTGCATTCATTCAGTGTTTCATTCAGAACAGTCATGATCTCTGTCCCATCTTTTACCCTGTGCTTCTAGGATAGGCTAGCTTGACACACCTCTCACTAGAATAAGAATTGTGCTAAAGCATGGACAGGATTAATTAATTATTATGATTAATTACTCTTAGTTTAATATTCTTGCCATTTTTAGTCAGATGGTTACAGGTTATTTTGTGTGTTTCCAGTTAAATTAATACAAAGATTTTCACAACAGAAAATGTCATTAAGATGTTTTATGTTCTAGAACCTGTCACCGGTATTGCTATAGTAAACTGATACTGAGGTTCTAAAGGAGCTATAGTGGCCAAAACCCAATAAAGTGTCAGGGGCTCAAGGCTGTGAATGCGTAAGGTGTCACTGGGTATAAAGTGGTGTCACCAAGTGCACTTCTTCATCACTTTGTTTACCATTTCAAATAATCTGATGCTGGACTACACTACTCTGTAAAACTGCCAGGTGGCACAGTGGATCCTTAAAGTACCACAGCTGTGTGTGGTTATCAGACAATTTGTTAATATTAAAGGAAACGTTAATTAGCCCATTAGTGCTTTCCTGCACTAGGTTTATTCCATGCTGAAAAGAGAAAAAAAGAAACACAACATTTTGGCTGTGGAGCTTTGTTTGGGCGTCAACACCCGAAATGTTGTGTTTCTTTTCTTTTCAGCATGAATTAAGAACTGTACTATTAAAAATTAGTACAGTCCATGCTTTGTGTGTTTGATAAGGGAGACAAGTAGACAAATCTGTGTTAAACAGACCGTTTAGAACGAAAAAAAAAATTAAATATGTAAAATTAATAAATGTCACTCACAAAATACAAATGTCTTGTAAATATTTGTCTTTGCTCCATCATGTCAGAGCTAGTAGTTAAAATATATAATGAGGAAGGACCTTCAGGACTACTGAAGCCTATTAGTGCCACAGAAAAAAAATACTGAATTGCAGATAGAACTGAACCAGGAAACTATAGACCAATCAGTATAGACCAATCATTACTAATGATTACTAATGTAATGTAAAGATCTAGAAATTATAGATAAATTAAATTAATACTTTTAAATCAGTGACATTTTAAGCATCCAACAACATAGATTTAGAAAGGGAATCTCCTGTATAACTTGCTAGAATTCTTCAATCAAGCAACAAGGACAGCAGGTAAAAATAAAATCTAATGACATATTTAGATTTCCAGGCAGCCTCTGATAAAGTCCCTTACAAAAGCCTGATTTTTAGATTGAGAGCTAGAGAATTCTGAAATAAGTACAGTACGCACATGGATAAAGAACAGGATACAGCAAGACATCTTAAAAGCCATCACCTCCAATGTATGTAGTTGTACAGCATGTAGGCCTGTTGTTCATATAAACATTCTATCAATTTACATTTAGATTGTCATATCATTAGAAAACTAGTTAAACACAGTATGTAGCAAAGAAAGAAATAGTGGTAAAGGAATTACTAAAGATCTAGACAAAATCATGGTTCGGGCACACATGTGGAACATGACGTTTAACATTGATAAGTGCTGAGTTATCCACACTGTTTATAGGATGACGACATGGCATGGAGCTGCAGGAAATGACACGAAAGTGATTTGGGTGTTTATGATTCATCGTGTCAGCTCAGAATGGCTCTCCTTTGTCTTGTGGAATCTGAATCCAGGAAAGTCATGATGTGTCCAGTTTTGTTCTCAATACCACAGAAAGGATAGTATAGCCTTAGAAAGAGTTCAAAAAGGAAGCCACAAGAAGGATTCTTGTTCTTAGTGGATTACCAGATACAGATGGTTTAAAGGAGAAAAATCTTTTCAGTCTAAAAAGGAGATTGAGAGGAGATTTTATTCAAGTATAGAGGATTCTATTGGGTATAAGGTAGGGTTACTTCAGGGGACTTAATTCTGGGGAAGAGATTTATTTCATGCTTACTAGTGAAACAAGGACACAAAAGGAAACTAAACTTAGAGAATTTATTTAGGATGGTGAATAAGAAAAATTTTTGCAAAAGGAATTGTGAGAAGGCTAAAACTCTAAAGAATTTTAAGAAATGGCTGGAAATTTTAGTTTCATTACTAAACTAGCAAGAAAAGATAGGTCTCCTTTCGGTTGCCAGCTTTCCTATTATTTGAGCTCATCTCATGTTTGCTTTTCTTTCACAAAGTTGTCCTTGGCTTTCTTTCTTTGAAATGATAAAACAACACAGTGAAGTGCTTCCATCAAAAGCAACTTCTAAAAGATTGTCTGCATAGAACGCTTTCTTTCACAGTCTGATGAAAATGACAACATACCATTGTCAACTAGAGATGGGCAATCAGCTGTATCCTGCAACTGACACACTCTTCATGAAAATCAGTAACGACTTACAGTAAAATTGACATTAACAGACTCTAATTGCCTCACTCCAGTGCATTAAAGACCCAGATTCAAAGCAGATATAAAGGAAAACGTCCCCATCATTAAATAATAAAATATACCACTCTTTAAATACTTCCTATGTAAGAATGAGAATTATCATGATTATTTATTATATCATCTCTCTATCCCAAATTATCATCCTCTTCAACATTTGCAACATGAAAAGAAAATTGATTTACTGTAATGTCTATCTCTGTGTTGGACATGACCTTGCTACAGTAAGTCCTAACAACACGATTCCATTCATCCTACACATTCTCTTTGGTGTTACAAATCTTCTAAAGTCCATCCAGCATGCCATCAGCATTGCATGAAACTGAAATACTAAATCCAGCTATTTAATCAAAAGAATTTATCTTTTAAATTATAAACTCACAAGGAAACACAAAATAAAATAAAACAGCTGCTGTAGTATAACTTTTTCTACTGTAAAAATGTTACTTGTGGGAAATCACTTTCCTAGTCACTTGCTTAATAATTTGTTCAAGTGAACATGAACACTTTTTGTAGTTCCATAGTTTTAATCACTGTATATGTGACTGCATTGCAACACTTTCTGTAATTTTTCTTTTACAAAGCTAATGTGCATTAACACTAGCCATGATAGAATGGTTTAGCAAAGAAAATGCACACACAAACAATATACTGTATGGTACTATTTACAACAGTATCTACCTGTTTCAGTAGCTTTTTCACTTTTACAATTCATGTTGGCCTCAGTCGGTAATTAAAGAGATGAGCCACTAATTAAAATATGTATAATAGCATTATATGGCTCTATTAATGCAAACATCTATGCTCAGGCAGGTACACTCTCAAACATTAAATCTTGAATCGTACTTAGATGAAAATTACTTA